GAACGCCAAGTATTTAAGTTGTGGCTTTTTGCCAAGCGAGAGAGATTAAGCAGTGAGTCGAAGCAGGTCGCTTACCTTAGAAGTTACGCAGTTGCTGTTTGCCTTCCAGGCCAGAGGTTTTAATCCTCTTGATAAAATTAAACCTATTGTAGTGTTCACAGTTCTCTGTACTACATACGCTTCCTGTTATTATAAGGCCAATCTTCCACGTTTCTTATTCTAAAGTTAAATTAGAGTTTAGTTTTATTTTTATACTTTTACGTTTTGACCCCAAGTAGCGGGTCGGTGTATTCCGAAGTACGGAAGTCATTGTAAATAGAGAAAAGTAAAGGGTTTTGTATACCCTTCTTGTGTATCCTGTTTACTTCCCACAGTTTTGAACATAGATTTAGTAAGCTCTCTGTTCCGAGTCAGGTCCTTGCATGTTCCCGAAGAAGGTGAGAAGGAACATTGACCCTGATAATGTTACCCTAGTCAGAAAACTTCTGGCTCAAAGACTGGAAAGTAGACTCTTCTGGACGCCACCCTGCGACCTGCTCCATCCTGCGTCGGGTAATAAAACCGAAACTGATGGAACGTTAACATCCCGTTTGGTAGTGCCGCCTACCGTCACACGGCATATGTGGCAGATGTTATTGATCCCTTCATATTCGAATTATATATCTGAGGAAATACCATTTTCCTTTGCACTTTAAAACTAACGAACTGCATTTTCCCTCTGAGGACATAACGCTTTTCGGAATTAAAAACAAAGTAATTAAATCTCTCCACCAAATAATAGCTGCTGTTTTATGCTCAAGACAATATTACACTACCAGCATCCTAAGAACTGTACTAGTGCCACAGGTATACTAATAGTGAATTCTTCGGTGCCAGTAAAAATAACAAATATTGTTAAAGAAAGTTCGCAGTAGGGATAAATACTAATGCCTTCTTAATAATTAAGGTATATTAAGTTTTCTTTTAACTCACTCTTTTTCTTAACAACCTCTTTATTTAGTCTTTTCAGTCAAAGATATTACTCCTAGTAGATTTTAGTTTCTGTTGTGAGTACTTTCTCAAAATTGTCCCAGTTTGAGCAAAAGGTATTAAGATAAGCCTATATGTATATATAATAAAACTATTATATATATATATATGTTCTGAAAGATGTACTTAAAGTCATAGCTGGTTCAACATTTCTTTATTTTTTAAAAGCACGGTTAAATCTGCTCAACCATTCTTGAACAACAACAGCTGTACCTTTAGAATTTTTATGGCATATAAAGTAAGAAAAACAAGCGGTAGATTACATGTTATCAGGACAATAATCAAGAGAAAAGGAGTAAATTACAACATGAGTGTCAGTAAAATTACAGTTTTAATATATTTCTATTGGTTAATTAAATTTTGTTCCACAATGTTTAATACCATTTTAGTTAAAACAATTTTTGCGCTATGTAAGATTATGTATCATAAGCATTATATGAGAATCTTATGACAGAAATTCATTTTTAAATGACACATTTGAGAGATATACTATAAACATGTTACTACTTACAGGATAGAAATGGTAAATAATCAAGTTAAGTGGCAATTGCACATTAAAGCTGCGATTGTACTTTCGAATAATTTATCTTATATTTTACCGATATATATTGTATGTATATAAAGAATTCCTATTTATTCTATTTTTATTTCACTGATGCCTTATAGAATTCCGTAATAAAAGTCTGTTAACAGAAAGCTTTTGTTGTGTATTCAAATCTTTTGCAGCACTTCTAGAAGACTAGCACTTAAGATGTTAGTGCTCCTATTTTTGTTTTTTTAAACCAAAAGTCTTATCATCCTTCTTAATTCATAATAATTCGAAAAGCATACCTACGAGTATTTCGTACTTCCTCGATCTACAGGCTAAGTGAAAATAAAAACTTTGGGCTTTATTTCTTCAGTCATTGATCTTAGTTACTTATAATGTAAGTTTCGAATGGCAGAGTTTCTTAAAACGTTAAAAAGTGGAATTTTATGAAATCAGCTTCATCACTATAGACAAAAAATGTTCCTTTTAATGAAAAAAAAAGCAAAGCCAATCTGAAAATTCAGGTTACAGTTTAACACTTCGAATGGTTTACATTCATGTTTTAAAGATATGAAAAATATTTTTAAAAAGTAAAATTAAAGAAATGGAGATTCCAGTTTTGCTTCTGAAAATTTCAAGCTTATCGATTAAGATACTCCCACTATTTTAAAATAATTTAAAATAGTAAATAATTAAGATCTTACTCATTCACATTTTTACTCTGTTGAAAACTTATAATGGTATTTTATTTTTAGAAACATTTTTGCGTCCACAGTATTTGGATTGTATTCTGTACCTTATTTTGTAATTCGAAGTACCATTCCAGGAACAATATTTGAAGAATAGAAGCCATAGCAATCCTTTCTATTCTCCTCTGTGTATCTATAACAGGCTAACCTTCTATATCACTGAGACTTTCCATTGTCAGAAAGTCTGATTTCCGTCTGGGCACTCTCCGTACTCATCAGCAATAGAATCATGTTCACATACAAAACGACAAATTTAAAGGAATACCTTCCTTTCTTCATAAACTCGGTAAGATTTCTTCTTTCCTTTGCATTAATCAACGTTTTCTAAAAAGGCTTCTATTACGTAGCACTACACATTCACTATATTTGCCCACATTTCTAAAAGAAATCACTCTATTCTTATCCTCGTTGAAGTGTAATGTGCTTGGAAATAGTTCATTTGATTTGAAGATTTGAAGTATTTTAAAAGTATTCTGTGCAAAATTTTCCCAATAAGTATAAGTTTTATGTCTTTAGCTAATTAAAAAATTTATGTGGCTCCTGAAATATTATTGTTAATACTATTTTAGAATTTGCGTTTTCAAGAACAGAGTTTTCGTGCGAAGATTTTAGCTCAGCATGTCAAACGAAACAGATATTTTCAATAAATCGTGCTACTCAAAATCCAAAAACCTTCATAAATATAGACTGACTTATTTAACATTTTTACTGCATGTTTTTGTAGATTAAATTATTTAATACTTTTACTGCATTTTCTTTATTACAATTGTTATTTATTGTAATTGAAATCATATTTTTTTTAAAGTTTTTATACATAAGTAGGCTTTTTATTTATTTTCTCAGAAACTAATTCATTAATTTCAAAACCGATCGCTAGCCCTTTATTCAAAAAATATAATTTCACATTAATTAAATTAAAGATATTCAAGAGGCTACATAGAAATAACAGCGCTCAACTCAAACCTATATTGACGAGACACGCACTATTGTCAAGAATAAAGCAACGCCGAAGACAAACTGCTATCGTAAAATTTCAACTAGTAACGTGGCCTTCAGCAGGTGGGAGATACTCTAACTAAGCAATCTAAATAATTCCTTTAAATGTTAACTTTTCTACCTCATTTGAATTAGCATTCTGACTCAGGAAAAAGGAAAGAGAGAACGACAGTAAAGATACTTAACATAAAATAACTTAAGACACAATAACACGCCGAGAAAATACTAAACTAAATAAAATAACTTGTTAAATAAAATAAATAAATGCCTCAGAAAAATTATTTTTCCAAAAACAATAAAAACACTTTACAATTGTAGAACTTTTCACGCAAAAGTACTCATACATTTCTTCTCAGTATGACAAAGCACAATCGGTCGTTGCCACTTCACTTAGAATGTTGGACACAATTCAATGCAAAGAACATCTAAAAACGACGCTCGCACCGATATCTCTCAATACTCTAAACTCAACTCACAGTACTCTGAGCTAAACTGAAATTCTTCCTGGTTCCACTTTATGCCGAGATTACCCTGCTGAATTTAGACGACGTGTTCCGTCTCCTTGAAGAAGTGTCTTAAAGACGCATGACGATATAGCAATTTCTGAACCGTGAACCCGTACCGGGTAAGGAATTGAAGGCTAAAAGAGGGAGTGACCATCGTCACGTGAGCAAAAGACAGACATCTAGTTGGTCGATAAATACAATACCTGCTGAGAATTTAAAGTTACGTAAGCTGCTTCAAGTCGTCTGATTGAGTGCAAGGTACAAATTCAAAAATAAAGTGCGTAGTACAGAATCAAAATAAAATAAAAGCAAGCAAATTATTTACAGTATTTATAATATTTACATAGGTTCTGAGAAGCCTGTGATATATATTCAGTAGGAATAATTCTCTTTTTATAATATTCAAAATAGATCAATATTTACTTGTGCAAATTGTAGGAAATTTATGAACAGGCAGTCAGATTATGTCGAGAAGTTTTAATCCAACATATGGGCTACGAAAAGTTTTAAATAACGGTCTTCGTAGAGAAGTTCTCACTGAAAAGTCTCAAAATAGCTAAGAGTGTCACAGTAATCCTTCATTGGTTTTTCTCAGATATTTCGCTAGGAATTCAATTTCGTGGTATTCACGGAGACTGGTTTCGCACGTAATGAAGTGCATTAGTCTCTAATTTCAGAAACTGAAATTCTTATATAGTTTATATCTTATTCTTATATAGTTTATATCTTATTCTTATATAGTTTATATCCTGTCTTGTACACTTTTCCTCCATCCGCCGATAAATTTCCAGTACTTTCGCTTTCTCGAAATTGCCGGAAGGCATACGCGGTTATAGTTACATAGGTCGGATACAGTTACAGTTACATACGAACCGGGTAGGTTACAGTTATCACAGAGATCGAACCAAAATATCGTCAAATAGTCGCCAAGTTTAATGACGTTTTATGATTTCTGGCCAAATTTGGGAACAAAAATTAGTTGCCAAAACCATCGCCAGCTTGGCGATGACAACCATTTACCTCATTGTTAAAGGGACCCTGTAACCCTGTTTTTCTGGCTATGTGCTTTGCATTTTGATGCCTTTCCAGTTACATTATTCAAAAAATATTACAGGATATATATAATTTCACTAAAATTATTTACATGTATACAAAATTTGTAACAGTATAATACTTATGTATCTTCAACAGGAGGAAAGTTAACTTACCGACGCTACTGCCAGATGCTGTCTGCTGTGTGGGGTTATGCGTTCTTCTGGGCTGCAATGCCACTACTAGGATGGGGAAGGTAAGTTCCTTAATTATTAAAGATAGAGATTCAGTTAAATTTTAGGGGGTTCTGAATTTTTCCGTGTTAATAGTTCTCCCTACGTAATTTTATTATATTTAAGAGTTAAATATTGTGTTTTCTGTGAAAAATAGATGGATCCAATTTTAGTTCTGTAGAATTAATCAGTATAAAATATATTTAGTTTAACTTATTCACTGATATCATATAAAAATGGCTTCTTAATTTAAAACTTCAAGAACTGTATAAAATACGTAATATTTGAACGTTCATTTCTATTTATCTTTCTTTATGATTTTCTCGAAATATCAACGCAAATAATTAGCAGTTTTAAATTCATTCTCAAACGACTGTTAGGACATCCAATAAATAACGCGGTTTTTCAGCTGAACTAAAAGTCGAAGTTGGACGGGTTAAACTACCTGCATCATTTTGTTACAAAAGCAGAAAGTTTAAGTCTTTTTTTTTTTTTTTTTTTTTTTTTTTTTTTTTTTTTTTTTGTAGAATCTTTAAGGATTTTCAAAATAGGAAACATGAAAAATCAGCATGTCCTCGGTGGGATTCGAACTCCGTATCTTCAGATTGCTAGCCGATTATAATACTTTCCAATTACACGACTAAGACATTCGGTAAGGAAGGAGAAAGTTCCTTACATTCATAGCCTCTCAAATGTCGACTAGAGAAAAAGGCACCCAGTCACCAAATTTAGGTAATGATGAATTGCCGTCTTCCATAAATAAGTTCGGGCGCCACTTATAGAGTCATTAGGTTTATTTCGGAGCAGGAAATATGGAAAATGAGCGATGTCTTCTCCTAGATTCGAACTCTGGATCTCCCGATTAGTAACCAGATATGCTTCCAGTTACACCGCGAAGGCACGAGATAAAGAGAGAGAAAATTCCTTCTTATTACAAGTTTTGAAGAATGCAGTTCGATTTTAACAATTATATTTTCAAAGTGAATGGAAGTGACAAAGAAGTATTTTTGGCATATTTTGCTTTATGAATTCAATTAAATAATTATTAATAAGAATATTACTAATGCCGTATATGAGTATCGGACAAAAAGCATAAACCGGTATCAACAGTGATTCTCATCGTAACTGTTGAAGAACTAGAATAGAATGAATAAAAGTATATTTTAGATTAAAAAATAACTTGATTATTTTTATTTTGAAAAATAGCAAAACAAGTGGTAAAAAATGCATTTTTTATGCGATAAGTCAGTAGTATTTTCAGTAGCATCAGGAAAGATATGTGCTTGTTGTTTTTTTTAATAAAATAAAAGATGTTTTTAAGTAAACATTAGTTAATTAAGTTTAATACCTCAAGGCAAGTATTATTATTTTCACCACGTCAGGAAAATAGCATCTTATAGCGTAACACTTGTTGAAGTCAGGATGCCGTATTTTAGAAGCTCAATTTAACCATTTGAGAGAACTTAATCTGAAAAATATATGTAGCTTTTTATGACAACATGTCTTACCTACAAGCTTGTTGAAAATAATGTCTGTCTGGTTCATTGTGTCTGTCTACTTGTACTACCATACTCCTAATAATATCATGAAGTTTCTCTTCATCTATCCGCAAAGTGGCAACAATAATGTTCCTTTTCAATTCTATAAAGGAGTGCGTATTAGTTATGAATTTATTTTAAGCGTCCTGGCAAAAAAAAACAGTCTTGACTGGTAAAGGATGGAAATCTCAAAGGTCACGATCTTGTTGCCAAAAACATCCTTCAGCATCTTCGTGCTGGAATATGTCGTTTAATATTTCCCACCTTCTTACTGTATCTAGGAATGATGTTCATTCTACTGAATAAGACAATGAATTATCAAACAGTTTCTTGGCATGTCTCAGCATCCATAGTTGTTTCAAAAACCAAATTTCTAATAATTCTTCCCCTGACAGAGCACACACCAGGCAATTATTCTCACAAAATGCAGAGAGTATTGAATAAAAAGACGCGTGTTTTTAAACTCCGCGTTTGGTAATTTTTGCTACAGACTTATGTTCCATGAAACTATGCATGATTTTTCAAAACAAAACAATTCATCTAAAAGAGAAGCATTACAACGAATAAAATTCTTGCGAAAACAACAACCATAGATGCAAAACACGCGACTGTTTTCAATATCAGCTCCCTACAAAAGATTTAGGGAATATCTTTCTTTTTCTGAAAACATCAATCTACCATTAGAGAGATTTATCAACCTCCTACATATAATAGAATCGGAATATTAATCGGAGTATCATTGCAAGTGAAATATGCAAAAATTTGTATGAGCTTAAATATTCTGTGTAACGCATATTTTAGATTACATAAACCTTGTAAAGTTTAATGTTTGCTTATGGAAGTTTGGTTTTAAACTGAAAACCATATATTTCACATTGCTAAGATGCAAATTTGGGCAGAATTTCATATATAAAGATGGAATTTCGAACACCAGATTTTAAATTTAAATTTGAATTATTTTTTATATAATTCTTTACGGTAAAGGTATACTGTTTTTCTCTATAAATTTAAACATTGCTAAAATCTTGGGTCATGTAGACTGATTTAGAAACGTGAATTAATTTTTTTCAAAATTTATTCTTTTTATGTATTTTATGTCATTAATTGTTCTATTGGTTAGAAATTATATAATAAAACGAACTAAAATCTTACTGTGAAACACGTAGAAGCAGATTTCTAAGCTGACTTTTATAGTCTGCTTCTTTAACCATAAGGGTTACATGAATTGTGCAGATCTAAAAAAGCAGTTCATCAACACATATTACGTAGCCCCAAGACGCTCCTCTTTTTAGTATTTGAAGCATAATTTTATTTAAGGAAATTGGAGTAGATTTGCTTTTCATCCCAGTTTCTTTGTCAAGATCTTCAGAAATTTGCTTAAAAAAAAGCTTTTTTTTTTAATTTAGATATTAGCTTGATCAGTTTAAATTTTCTTGATTTCTTATGATTAGATTTTAAACGTTTTATTTTAGCTTCATCTGAATGAATCTGATCTGAATGAATATTTTCATTCTGATTGAGGAACTCAAGAAGAAAGAACGGAAATGTTTGGAAATACGAATAATGATATGTATAAAGAAATCGAATTAAATGTTATTAAAGATAAATGAAAGAATAATTAAAGTGTCAACTATAAATTTTGTGGGTTTTTTGTAACCTTTGATTTAAAAATTAGTTAACGTGCTGGAAAATTGACATACTTCTAAAGAACATGCTAAGAATACATAGCGTATTTGCATGCTAAGGTTGTGGATAATATTTCCTGCATCTTAAGAAGCTAATATCTGTGCTTTAGATTATGAGTATATATATTAGCAAGACTTCTGATTGTGGCCCGATATTGTGCCAGATTGATAATAGCGCAATTGGTGTAAGACTTATGTTTCCTCGGACTACGAGTATATTTCCTCGGACTACTAGGATTGCTTACTCTCTGCCACCCTGCAGACTTCTATATAGAAGCAAACTGTAATCCTCCCCATGCATTACAATCCTCAGCCGTCTATACTGATGGCTCCAAAGGAGAGATCGGGACTGGCAGAGTCTGGTGTACACCAGACGATGACCTCATAACCCACTCTTGGGCTAAGAAGCTTGATCCCAGTAACTCAGTGTTCAGGCAGAACTTACAGGCCGAAAAGCAGCTCTGGACTTTACTGCTAGCAATGCAAGGTATAAAGTAATTTACACAGACTCAATGTCAAGCTTGTAGGTCATCCGGTCACCCAGTATGGCTGCAGTAGACATTCCATAGTTAGAGACATACAAAAACTATTAATTTCGATTCCTGCAAGTCTGAGGCCCAAGCTTCAATGGGTTCCAGCCCATACGGGGAATCAAAGGAAACTAAGCAGCAGATGTAATTGCGAAAAGCACAGCTAATGAACCCCATGGGAGTAGCATTAGTGTGCTCCTTCAGCATTCATATCTGAAAACCACTCTAAAATGTAAATTAATGAAACAATGGCAAAACTACTAGGATTTGAGCACCACAGGCAGAAGACTGTATAATTTTCATTCAAAAGTAAACCATAATTTAAATAGCAGCTCCTCGCACCTCACACAGTATCTGACAGATAATAACCCATATATATTTTATCTTCACAGATTTCTCCTAGGAGACAGTGACTAATGTATTTGTGGCAGTACTGGTGACCCAGATCACAATCTGTTTGACTGCTCGCACACAATCAATTCACATTTAAAAAGACCAACTGCAATCAATATGCCAGCATGGTTTAAAAACACAACCAAAAATAAATATCCATTCACCTGCATTAGAGACTGCACTACCATAGCTAAAAGCATTGCTTACAGCCTGCAATGAGTTCTTTTCTTGGACACCGTGCGGTCAGCAGCCTGTTCTGTATATATATATATATTAATTTACTTAATAGTCAGTGAGGAATAGCAATTTTAGAAGATTGAGACGTCCGTCCTTCACGGCGCGGGGCTGGAACTTGGAGAGGCGGAGGTGTGTCTACGCCTTTTAGTAGGAGGATATATGCCGTAGTCTTGGGCCACGTTTTTGTGAACATGGAATACCAGGATCGTAGACAGGAAGCTGTTGAAGTGCTCGGTTATCAGACTCTTCAATTTTGAGGAACATATTTTGACTAAGTGTTTTAATAACAACATCAATTGGTTTAATATTGTTACTTTTTTTTTACGCCAGTTGTTACGTTGTTTTCTTCCTTCACGTTCGTACGGGGTTCGTAGATTTGGAATGAATAACGACGACATTTCATGAAGTATCGAAACACTCTTTATTCAGCCAGCTCCAGTAACACTTTTTACAGTCGTCGAAGGACAGCTCCAGTGACACGTTTACAGTCGTCGAAGATCTACTATAACACTCTGACACGATCAGCGACACAGCATCCAGGTTATCAGGCTATCACGGGAGACAGCTTCACAGCAAAGCACTAGAGTATAGCTTTCGACTGTGCTTGGTCGTTCTCGGAACTCCACGTACTCTCGAGACT